TAAAAGTGAAAGTGAAGGGCAAAATTTTAAAAAGGAAAAAAGAAAAAAAAAAAAAAAAAAAAAAAAAGAACAACTCTCAGTAATTCACTTTATACTGAAAAGGTGTGCGTATGTTTATACACTTCCAATAAAAATGCTTATACTATGAAAGTATTTGATTTTCCTTTTGCATTGATTTAACTTGCATAGCTGTGAATTGATACCGTTAAATTATCTATCTCCAAAATACCCAGTTATAATTTGACGGGGTTTTTTTTGGTGTGTTACATAATTAGGTAGGACATCTGGAGAGCTGCACTGCCCAAGAGAGATGCTACTGAACTGCCAGGGAAATGCGCCATTGAAAGCGAGATAGAAATGAAGTACTTCAGAGCACTCCGTCAATATATTGGGGAAAAAACCCGTAACATTCAGTTGCCTCTTTTTAAACACTTAGAACAAATACCTAACTGCTTAAATACACCTAATACATCGTATGCTACAGCTATTTGGCAGTTACAGTTTAAACAGTGCAGTTCGGTTTGTAAATTATACAATCAACTTTTTTTTTGAAGTTTCATTTATGATAGAAAAATCAGTGAGATAAGAGATCCTCCATATGGTTTTACTTCTTGGGGGTGGGTGGAATCAAATCCCCAGTGCTGCAATACATCAGGCTACCAAAAAGGACTGGCAGATCTGCTAATGCTTTTGGCTGTACTGAAGCATGCAGAGGAACAGGTTTTTATGATATCTCAACTGTTAAAACTGAGAACCAAAGACTAGCAATGTCATCAACTTTTGGAAGACGTGCTGTGCCCGGGTCTTTGGAAGGAAATTGACTTCCCCCCCCCAAGAGAGTGAAAAGCCTTGTTGCTGATGACTTCTACTGCCAAGTACATCATCTCTGAAGAGCCGCTCTGATGGGAAGTTCATAAAATGCAACTTCTTTGAATGAGAAAGATTTCCATTCTGGAAAATCTCTTTCTGACTGAACTCAAAAATTACACACTGTAGGTTAAGGAAAAAGGACCTTATTGAAGCAAGAACTCATGAAAAGCACATCAGGACTCACTGTCACTAGTTACAAGGCTGCTAATGCTTCTTGGAAAAGCCTGGAAAACACATGGAAGCAATGCAGATTTGTCCCGTTTTGTCCATGTCTCTTCTTCGACTTTGATTGCTTTTGGTACAGGTGCTAGTATCTAAGCAAGGTTTTCGAGTACTACTGTAAGAGATTTTAAAAACTTATTGACTGAAAAACCATAAAGGTTTTATCATGAAAACAAAGTCTTTTTCTTCTGAACATCTCAACTCTTACAGTTTCTTTCCTCTTTTAGTAAAAAATCAATTTCACAGTATCATTTAATAGTAAGCACACAGAAACAGATTATGCTTTCAGGAAGAGAAAATAAATGGAGGGAAGTAAGCTTTGCATAGGCGTAACATGCTCCAGAACAGATCTTATTTTTAGTATTTGTGTTAAAATATTTCATAGAAAAACTATAGAAGGAGAGTTGGCACATTCTTAACGTTCATAAAGTCCATACTACAAGCACCTTAGGAAAAATACAGACACACATCGTAGACATACCTTGTACTTGCAGACCACTACGGATCCTTTCCATCCGTCTTGTACTTTCATGGCAGAAGAAAGGGCGACCACGGTGACAGCTGACATTCTGCTGAGAGGGGAAAAGACCCTTTAGCATAAAGCTGGGTAGGAATCTAAAGGTTCCTTTTTTTGTGAAGGTTTGTGAAGACTACAACTGAGTGGAAAATAAAGTATTTTGCATCACCTTTGGCACAGTTGTTGATAGAGGCCACTAGAGCTTTTGCATTTTTTAGATAACCGTGCCTTTTTTTGACTCATTGGCAGCTTTAGTTTGCACTAGAACAACTTTCATAGATAACGCAGGTGACAGGCACAGTTACCTACATACATTTTCTCAAGCCTATGTATAGCCAAGATTTCCTCACCCTCTACGTCCCAAGTCAAGTATTTTTGTTAAAGAGTACAGCAACACATCTGTCCTTGGGAACTGTCTCCTTGCAAAAAAGGAATGATTTTTTTCAAACCATTTCTCCAAACAGTCATGATCTTTTAAAACTGCAGTTGTGCCACCAAACCCGCTTAGGGTCCCTCCCAGCTTTTGACTGTCCTTAGATTTAACAGGCACACACTCTATTCCATCTTCCAACATCAAAAATACGCAACTCTCAGACCCAGAGCACAACCCTGCGGACATCTACACACGCCTTGCTGTTTTGATGAAGAGCCACTGAGCATCCCTGCAAGCACAGCTGCACGCGCAAGATCAGTTTCACCTACACTGATTTCAGTGAATGTAGTTTCTGAAGCTTTAAACTGAAAACCGTATCTTGACACTTCACTGCAGTAGAAGTGATCCATAACTAGCACTCCACAAAAACGTACTGTTAGCGTAAGTTGGCAGATGAAAAACTCTCCAAGACTCAATTTGGAGTTATAGAAAGCAGGCATTCTTTATTGTGGCACCAGGCGCACAGGGGATCATTCCAACCTAACATGCACGCCAAGTTGTTCAACTTCAGAAGTTATATACAATTAGAATATACATATTCATTAGATTTCCTAGTAATTATTAACATATTCATGTTACTTCCTAGAACTCATCAACATATGTAAAAGTCTTTAACGCATGTGCTCTTATGTTCATTGGTGGTCTCTCAGGGTCCTCTGGTGGTCGTCAATAGTCTTCCTCACTGTGTCCTTTTGCTCACCTCTTCAATTTGGCGTCCTTCAGTCTAAGTCATTCTTGTCTTTCTTAAAGGTTAACTTTAAAGGTTAACTATTGATGTATGGTTTGCCTTTGTTCTTTCCTATTACTGTTACAGGGTGTTACATATACTTCTGAACACTGATGTTATCATTCCCTCCTATTTGTTTGAGGACCTGGAGCTATACTGCTGATGCTATCAGTACTACACAAATTGCAAACCCACAGCAGCAACAGCTTCAGAAATATTTAGACCAGGAACAAGGAAGAAAAATACAACAGCTTCATTGTGTGCACAGGAAGAGCAGCAGACAGAGAAAAGGGTCAGCATTCATAGCCCTTACAGAAAACAGGCATTCTCCTACCATTCCTAAACCCATCTGTTAGGTCTAAATATCACAGCACTGCTGTGGCAATATTGAGAGTAGGGAATGACAGCCCTGCCACTGGACACGCTGTTGACTGATACTATTTGTGTAGCAGGACACAAACAGAGGGACATGTTTTGCCACAGACAACCCTGAATTTCCTGAAAATTTATGTTTACCAAAAATAGCCATTTGGAACATATTGCCAAACAACATTTGGCAATAAAATTTTGATGTGTTTGACACACACAAATTTTTTGGTAACTTGCTATTTGCCTCCTGCTATTGTTGTTCCTCCTTCATAAATTCTACTTGTAGCCAAGCTATTCACTACTGGTTCGAGCATTTACCTTCCTGGTATTACCAGCATTTACACAGGGGCAAGTATTTGTGAGAAAACTAATTAACTTATCCAAATAACAATTACAGCCATGAAAGAGGAGTGAAAGGGAAGAAAAGGAGAGGTCAGGCAGCAAGAGAGCTCTGCAGGCTGCCACCAGTCAACATTGCACTCTTTTTTTTATAAAAAAAACCAAACACACACACACACCCCCATGACCTTGGGTTGGTTTTTTCTTTTTTTTTCTTTCAGAGCTCATCCCTGTCTCAGCATATTGCCAGAGCATGAAGTGCAGGTGATCTGTATCCTGATGACATTTGCATGTGATGAATATGTGTTCAGAAATACTCCAGATCTGTAAGACTGGTGTCATTTTTGTGGTTTTCATAATCGTAACTCAATTTTATTGGCTGAAGCATTTGTGAGGGGACTAATTAACTTTTAAATGCAGTGTCTCCTTGGGGAAAAAAAAAGTGTTAGACTGAAAATAATTATGATTCAGAGCTCCCAAGCATGACGGAGCAGTGGGGAAATTAATGAAAGTGAAGACAAACAGCAGCAACATTAAGTGAAATTTGGCTTTAATTCTGATCATGCACTTAAGAGACTCTCCAAGTCTACACTTCAATCCTATAAATGACTAGTCCTTTTGTGGAAGGACAAACTTTTTTACATTAAAGTCCTAGACTGAAGGCTCCACAGAACAGAATGTGGATTGAGCCACAGGACAACAAGCCATCAACACTCTAATGAAAAAAAATTGAATAAAAATCAAGCTTAAACATCAGTTCCCATCATGTTTCATTCATTACATATCTACTGGCATCTAGGTGCTCAAAAATTAACTATACTGACACCATATACTTCTAAAAATTTAGTTCTGTATATAAAAATAAAAGGCTACTTCCAACTTGCCCATAAAATGAGTATGAACAAACAGAAGAGAAACACTTGACCCTAAAGAAGGTAACAGGCTGCTCTTAATTTATCATAGATGAAAGTTCGTTCCCTTACCTGAAAGGAAAACATTCATAACCACCAAGGGACCAATTCAGGAGCGAGGCATGCTCTGTTAAGTGTATTTTTCATCAGCTTTTCTGCACTAGCAGCAAATTTGCCCTTTCTCTGGGTTTGATGTGGAATATCTGTAGTGTCCTTGAACTCACAAATGTTTCTCCCCACTCCCCCATATGTGCGATTACCTGAGCAGCAAGTGGAATCAACCACGCAGGATTTTCTTCACGTGTCACAGGTGACACTGGGAAAAGAGGACGCAAAAAATGAACCCGTTTGTCACACCCAGCCAACAGTGAAAACACAGGGGAGGACTCTGCCGGAGGGGCCGTGCGGGGCCAGGTCGCGCCCCCCTGGAGCTCCGACCGGCCGGTTCCTCTCCCCTTTGCCAGGTCCCGGGGAGCCACCGCCGCCTCG